CCTCCACAGCCCAGCATCCCGTACTCGGAACCCCATCGTTTGGAACAAGCTCATCCACTTCTCCTGCTCCCGAAAGCTCTTCTCGTCCACCCTTTGGGGACCCGTTCAAAACGTCGGAGGCAGAACATCCGTGGAACGCTTATCAATGGTATACTGCGCTGTCGGACAAGCCTGCAGCATCTAGCGCGTTCTTCTCAGATATTTTCACATCGCCCAATACGCGGAATGATGAGGACAGCATCCCACAGCGCTCACCAAACCTCGACATCTGCCACGTGAACTCCAAACCATCCACGCAAGACAATCACAGGGCCACAATCTCCAAAGTGCTTGCACTCCTTGAAGCTGAACATAAAGAAAGCGTCTCCAAATCAGACACCGATGACTTCGACACTGTTAGTCTTCTTTCCGAGTACGATATCATCGATCCGGTAACTACGAAGTCCATGGCGGATTCCTGGGAGGAAGTACCTACACCACCCGAGACTACGGTTGATGTCGAACCCATTGACGACTCCGACTGCGACGATGAAGATGACGAGTATTACTCTGAGTCTTACTTCCAGTCTCACTAGGAGGAGACACCCGCCACACCTACCAGTGCTGCACGATGGACGAGTGATGGTGCCAGCACGAGCGCAGTGGAATGGCCTACTTTGCAAGAGGCGATGAAATTGCGACATACTGGAGTTGACGAGAGTACGAGTCCGACGAAAGATGACGACGAGATTAAATATTGGGACGGTGTTACAGATTGGTTCATGTGAGGTCGCACGCTTGTATAGTGAGTGCGTCTCGTTGATGTCGACTTCGAGAGTGTTGCGGCTATGATGGTGTTAGTTTGGGATTCCGTGTGGGTCTGCTTGAATCGTGTTGTCTCTTTCTGTCTCTGAAATCCCTAGAACAATGGCAGTATACATTTGATCGTGCGTCTGATGTCACTACTGTGAGCTGATATATTGCAATGGTGTCTTGCCACGTTCTCAACACACGCATAGACCAAATGCTATCTTTGTATGTAATTGTCATCGGTATTATCGTGTAAATATGACTAGAAAGACACTGAAGAATCTAAACATCTCTAAACACCTCTTTCTCAAAGTCCTTGCACAAATCATTGAATGGCAGCCATTCATCCTTGTCCGACTTTGCCCCGCCCTTCTCCGCGATTGGGCTCCACCACGCCTGCTCCACGCCCGCATCATCATGTACTACAGCAACGGGCGCGACCGGTCCCATGGCATTCGACTCGTACAACTTCCTAGTGTGATTGAAGTACCACATGCGATCCCAGACCGAAACGCGGAGGGACTTGAGCCCATCTCGATGCGCGTTGTGGTGGATCAGGCCAGGGACGACGCTCGTCCACATGTTCGTGTAGAGAGGAACATCGTTCCAAGACTTCTCATCGGGGAATTTGGCACCCGGAGCGACGACTGCGGGGCGGAATGGCGGTTGCGACTCTGTAATGTCTTGGACAAGGTCGTGAACGCGTACTGGCGCGACGTTGAGTTCAGCAGACGCTTGCGCAATGGACTTGGGATCGCCGTGTGTTACCCATGCTGAGTCTTCTTCTGCGAAAACTGTGGGATGGCCAAGTAGACTGGCATAATCGAGTCCGATGCCAAACTCGTCTGGCTTCCCAGCCCTGTGCTCGCGCAAGTGCCGCTCAGACTGCGGGCTGAGGATGCTCTTTCTCCCCGTTAACCAATCTCCTGTCTTTTGGAAGAAACCCCTGTGTCGTTGCCTCATGACCTCACGTTGGAACTCCTGGTCTCCAAAAATCTCACTGAAGATCTTCTGGTCGCTGCCAAAGTTTCGATCTTTGTCTGCTTTCTCCATAGCGCGTTCGAAGAGCGCTTTCATCGCGCCCACGCGGCCCATTGCATCTCCGGAGTTGAGGTACCGTTGTCGAAACTTGACGTATGGGTTCTTGTCCCAGCCGATATCGGTATCTGTCTGTGGTCCATAGACGTCTTCTGGCAGCGAAGACTGTGGTACAGCATAACAAGGGGGGTCCTCTGGTTTCCAGGGCCAACACCGCTTCTGCGCGGAGAAGACAATGTCCTGACTTATGCCTTCTGCGGCCGCCGCTCTGGAGCCCATAGTCTTCCGTATCCGCGCATTCGCCGCGTTGTTGATAGCGTGGAAGCGCGAGATCAACGCGCTGGGTCGTAGTTGAAACCAGATGTCGTATCCATCCACCAGCAGCAACAAGTCGTCGTCGCGTTCCGGCCCAAGTTTACGCAGGTATTCGAGCACACCGCTGATCTTGGCGATATGCGAACCTCCAGCCACTAGCGATTTATCGTCAAATGTGGCGCCCCAGTTGATCAGCGTAGGGGTTGGGTACCCAGCCACTGCAGCGCTGAGCATCGTCTTGCAAAGATTGACATCTTTGTGGTCCGCAGGGATGAGGACGTGGAGGATAGAGGAGTGTTTCGCCTTGTTCTTGCTGCTCGACGAGAAAGCAGTGGGAACAAGATGGCGGTCGCTGTTGACGGTAGTAATGAAGATAACAACGAGTATAAAAGATGCTGCGAAAAGTATCCAACGCCGGCGACTCCAGCCTGGTAGGCGCGCGACCGCGTCGTTGGAGAGTTGCTTGTACCCGCGCATCATCCAGAAAACCGTGCTGACACGGCGGAACTGTGAAGCTCACGTTGCGAGATAATGCTTGCGACAGCGCCGTAGTTGGCAGTGCATCTGCACCCGGCCGAGCGCATTATTCATGTTGGTAATGAGCTGTCACCGATGGCAGTTCGCCTTCTTAGGATCTAAACTTACACTTGAGCTAGTCGGATATCTCAGCCGTGCGGCGTCAACTCCGGGAGGTGGCGGATGGGCGTACACTAGTGGATCTACTTGCCGGCACCATCCGGAAGAGGTGTGCCGAGATGCCACTAGTCTCTTTGATGGCTTGGACCATCTGCTCGGTAAACTGCCACGACAGGGGCGGCGTGGCTATGTGAACAGGAGCAAAATTAGGCAGTAAGATTTGTGCATTCCACTCTTGGTGCCAGTTCGATGAGAGACCTTACATGTGATCGTACAGTTTGGTGTGAAACACAACGTTGCTATTAAGATTTAGTAAATTCAACGCTTGATGCTTCGCGATCAATGGTATATAGTGTCCCAAAACGAGACTTTCTCTGGCTCTCCACTGTACAACGCAGGTTCATGCGACTCGCAAAGAGATTTCCACGAGAGCGATGCCCCCTGGTCACTCCAAGCCCCCGACTTCTCCTCTGGCTCGCCTACTTTACTGTCGTACGGCATGTTCTTGGTCCACCGAACTCCATTGATAGGATCTGACCCAATCTTCTCGTCGTTTACTTGAGATGCCGCGCGTTGAAGGCGCTCAGCCTCTCCAGAGTACCACATGCGGGGCCACCAAGTGTCTCGAAATGACTTGTCGCCTGTGAAGTGGAGCACTGGGAAAGGCTGGCCAGTAACTGTGTTGAAACCCAGAGACACATCTCGCCACGAAGTTTCCTTCAAGGCCGGATCATCTGATATAGCAGCAAATGGCTTCCTTGACTGCAGCACGTCCTCCTGTAGATCAATCCTGTACGGCTCCACGGATTTCGATGATGAAGGAAGCGAGGATCGGTTCGTCGCCATCCAAGCAATGTAGTTCCTATACCCCGCAGCTGTTTGGAATAGGCTCGATCGATAGTCCAGCCCAATGTGATATTCAGTCACTTCGCCTTCCTTGAGCGTTGGTAGGTCAATTTCTTGAACTCCTTCGGGCATCCCGTAGGGCTTATCTCCATGCGATAGTATGCGCGCATACTCTTGATCACCCCATACGTCTGCAAAGTACTTCTGATCGGAGTTGCGCAGCACGTCTTCGGGATTGTACGTCTGCTTGATCTTTTCTTGAGTTGCACGAAACATCTCGCGCATTTCGCCAGCGGGCCCGATGATGGTGCCTGAGTTCAGCCAGCGCGGTCTTGCGTGATTCATATCACCCCATCCATCAGTGTAAGGGCCAAAAGCGTCGGGGTGAAGAGGTGAGTCAGGAACGACCCAGCACGCTAAGCGAAGAACATCTTCTGGCCAGCATACTTTGTCAGGGCCGAAAAGGATGCTGTTGTAAATCTTGTGTTTCCGCATATGGCTTTTGCCGTACCGGTTGACCAGCCGATTATTGGCGGCAGCCGTTTCTTCGAAGTAACGCTTTAGCAAGACATCCGGACCGAGCTGGAACGTAACATCGAAGCCATCCACCAGTAAGACTATGTCTGTATCTTGTGCGGGGGACAGACTCTCGAGGTAGCGAAGAGGACCCGCGATTTTCGCAAGGTGAGTTTCTGCAGCGTTGAATGCGCCCGCTCCTGCCCAGTCGATGAGAACAGGAGGTGGGTACAAGAGCACCGACGCGGAGAGAAGAAGGCGGCACAAGTCGAGGCCACTACTCGTAGCTACAATGAGCAGGTGAAGACGCGATTCTTGGATATTCGCGGTGAGTGGATCTTGTACCGCGGCTTGCCGTATGGTGTCGAGGGAGTTGAGATGTAGTGCAGTCCAGAAAACTACCAGGGTCGCGAAAACCAGGGTTCCGAAGACGAGAGTCCTAGGACGAAGCATGGCGCAGGTGTATTGAGCCACAGCCGTCTGAAGGCGATTATGATATGATCAGTGGTAATAGAGCGCTAATTTTAGGCCAGCCATAGCCCAGCAAAACTCTCCTTTGGCATTGATACCGTGCAGCCCCGTGGTCAGGCAGACCTCGGGAGCGTGGCGTCACCCATGGCAATCTCGTATGGTGAGCTGCATGATTGGCATAAATGGCATGATTCCGAAAGAAGTTGATAGAGCGAGGCATACTACCAGGATATCGGGAAAGACGGATGCTAGTGTCTTACTCGGATCCAGGCTCCAAGCGATCGGTTGGACGCACGTCTGGGGTCACAGAAGAATCACATGTGCACGGACTCTGTTCTCGCTAGAGTAGCGCGTCACGCTAAGAAAGCGCGACGCCATGTGTCATTCGCTCATCCACTTGCTCTCGCCTTTGACTTAAGCTCTATACTACTGTACCACGCTCCACCTGCCAGAGCGAGCAGGATGCCCGCGCCGTTCATCGGACTGACAGGCACGTCCCACAAGAAGGCTCCCAATACGATGGTCAGACATTGCTTGAGATTTGCACAGATGGTCAAGGTCAACGCGCCCGCCAGCTTGTTCGTCTCGAAAGACGCGACATTGAGGCCGAATGCGAGCAGGCCGTTGCCCGAGACTGTCAGAATCCTTTCCCTTGTAAAGTGTCCGGCATTCACAAAAGCAAGAAATTCTGAGAATTCGCCAATGAGCACCGAGTACAGCAGAGATTGCACTGCGGCCAGGGGCCCCATGCGGAGGAGCAGCTCCAGAGCGGGTAGTCGCAGGCGCCCCGTCATCAAACGGTTGGTAACAACGGTCTATTTCGAGCTGTTAGCATCCTTCGCGAGAACGTGCATAATCCTTCGGGTATTACTTACCTTTATGGCAGCGAGGACCACACCGATGAGTGTCAGGGTGAATCCAATGGCGGTGAAGTAGTAGTCACCAAAGGTAGCCAGTCCGACGCCTAGCATTACCGGGACGATGGACAGATACGTGATCAGTGCATATCTTCGGGAGAAAATAACACGGTATATCAGAATGGTAAAGAGCGGGCATGTCGCTCGCATGATTTGATGGAAGGGAACAGAGACCATGGCTCTTTGCGAAGTTATTAGCGTACGAAGATGTATGTAAGGTAATGGAAACTTACAACGACAGATTTGACATTGCAATGTTCAGCGTGAACAAGAGCGAGAACATGAAATGGACCAGATGCTCGCGCGGCGTCAGCCTCGTTAGCTGGAAATGCCCGAACATCAAGAAGACTGAACTTCCAAGAGCAGCACTTCCGGTATGTACCGCTGTGAGAATCCACGGGAACGGAAACTGGGTATCTCGTTAGCTAAATCGACTCCTCGTATCTGCTCCTGCTACATACCGAACCCATAACAGCTTTGTTGTAAAATGTGAGACTCAAGTTCATTATAAAATAAGTCGCCAGGTATATGAACGTCTTCGTCCTATTGGCAGCTGGCTCTGTAGGACGCTGAGAAAGCACATGCTTTCCATCTTGTTGGCTTTCGAGGTCCAGTAGCGGTTCATTCTCCTTGATATCCAGTTCAACAGGATATTGCTCATCGGTTTCGGCCACTTGGTTGAGTACAGGCTCGGCCTGAGCCATTTCGAATTTCTCCATGATGTTGTCGTCTTTGTCGGTCGACGTGAGGAAGGAGTCGCGTGCTACCTCGCGATGAGGCGTTTCGACAGTCTAAGGGATGTTCAAATTCAGGTGGCTGAACCGGTATTTGATCCGACAAGTATTAGTTGAAAGAGATTATAGCGTCACTGTGGCTAGGGCCAACAAAGTCTCTTCGCGTCTAATCCTCAACCACGACCGGATAATGCTGCGGTTGGCCGACACCTTAGCTCCTTCGCATGCCTGTCTGCCCAGGACCCGCTGAGAACGGTGTGTGCCGTGTCACACGATGGATCCGGGTAAGGTGTGGCTGTCGGGGACCGGAGTTAACACTGCATCTCAAGCAAGGGCGAATAATGTGTAGTGGCTGCACGTGTGCGCTGGCCCGCTGAAACTGTGCTGACCATTGACTGCGCCATGAAGTCCAACTAAGCCATAGTTTGGGCACAGTGGCTTCATCCGCTGTAATCATGCGTTGCCGGGTTCCGATATTAGCAGAATAAGAACAGTCCCTATGGGTTAGTGTCCTATGACACTTGGCTTCTCTGCGCGTTCTCTGGGGCGGAGCGAAAAACTGCGTAACTCGGGGCGGAGCTTGGAGTCCTGCAACAGAACTAACTGAAAAGCTACGCGCATAGCCATAGTGGCCAAAATGCGAAATCGATGTCAAGCCTCGCCGAGTGGTGGAGTACTCGTGCTAAGGATTACATCACAAAGATAACATGCGACGTTACTAAGAAGGCCCCGGCTGGCTTGGCAGGCACCCCATCAATTGATCCTTGTGGCGTCCCCGGTACTTCCGTCACGCTAGCGCTCATCACCATCATGTCACCCAACCAAGCGTTTCCTAGCCGTCCGATACGTTCAGGTCCATCCTCGGCACCAGTAATTGCCAAAATGAGATCGTGTAAACGATAATAGAAGATGCCGATAGCCGTCCAGGCGACCATGAGTATCTTCGGCCGCTCGGTCCGTGACTATGGCTGGTTGATACTTCATCCAACATCTCGATACCCTTGTGTACCTATAGGTATCCGGCTCACTTCCACGAAGGCTTCTTTGTCCTTGTCCTGCTCGATTACCAGGCATCCTGTTATACACTCGTTTTTGCAAACCCTCACACACTCCTCATGTCTAGTCACACACGGCAAGATGCGCCCACCCCAGCGCCCTCATACCGCTCCACCCATGAGTCCAAATTGTTCGGACGCATAACCAAGATATGTTGTATCGGTGCAGGATACGTGGGAGGACCGACTTCGGCAGTCATGGCGAACGCCAACCCCGACATTCAGGTGACGGTGGTCGATTATGACAGCAAGCGCATTGCTGCATGGCAATCTGAAGATCTCCCCATCTACGAACCTGGCCTCATGGATGTGGTCAAGCCAGCCCGCGACGGCATCCCCAACAAGCGAACGCCAAACCTCTTTTTCTCCACAGATGTCGACCGCGGCATTGCCGAAGCCGAACTCATCCTGTTGAGCGTCAATACCCCCACCAAGACATTGGGTCAGGGTGCCGGACATGCCAGTGAGCTTTCCTATTTGGAGTCTGCTGTGCGAAAGATTGGTGCTGTTGCTACAGGCAACAAGATCATCGTAGAAAAGAGCACTGTGCCATGCCGGGCGGCAGATACGCTGCGAGATGTTCTGAGAGCAACGAGTAGACCTGGCGTCGAGTTTGAGATCCTATCAAACCCTGAGTTCTTGGCCGAGGGAACCGCTATCCAAAATCTCTCGAACCCTGATCGCGTTCTCATCGGCTCTCTTAAGACTCCTCAAGGGTTGGCGGCTGCACGAGCTCTTTCTCAAATCTACTCAGCTTGGGTCAGCCCAGATCGCATCATCACGATCAACTTGTTTAGCTCCGAGCTGGCCAAGCTAGCTGCAAATGCACTGCTCGCTCAGCGGATCAGCAGTGTCAATGCACTGGGTGCCATGTGCGAGGCAGTAGGCGCCGACATCGATGAGGTGTCCTATGCCGTTGGATTGGACAACCGCATTGGGTCTCGAATGCTCAAGGCATCGGCCGGCTTTGGTGGCTCCTGCTTCCGCAAAGACATCTTGTCTCTTGCATACATCGCAGAGTCCCTGAACCTGTTTGAGGTCGCCGCTTACTGGCGATCAGTAGTCGACATAAACGAGTACCAGAAGGACCGATTTACCCGCCGCATAGTGCGATGCCTGTACAATTCGCTTTCGAACAAGACGCTTGCTATTCTTGGCTTTGCATACAAGAAGGACACAGGAGACACTCGCGAGTCAGCAGCTATCACAGTCGTCAACAACCTACTTGCTGAAGGTGCCAACGTCAGGATCTACGACCCGCAAGTCAAGGAATCGCAAATACTGCACGACATCGAGAGCAGTAACCCGAGTCCGCAGAGCATCAAAGGCAGACTCACGGTCTGTTCCTCGACTTACGAAGCGTGTACCGACGCCGACGCCGTGGTCATATTGACGGAGTGGGACGAGTTCAGCAACAAGCAGCCTACGAGAAGCGGGCATGTTCGCGGCGACTCAGTACACAACGGTGATGTGGATACAACGCGCAAGGAGATATCATGGAAGCGCGTTTCGCAGGTCATGCGCCGTCCAATGTACGTCTTTGATGGACGTAACGTCGTCGATCCTGTGCCTCTCGAAGCTCTGGGTTTCCGGTACGAAGGTGTTGGTAAATCGAGGGGGTTGTAATCGGTCTAAATGTTTCAATGTCGAGATATCCAATTTGCTTATTTACTTAATGAGGTGTAGAGTTAGTACCCAGGTTCGGCGTTGGTCAACCGCTGTTGCAGCAATAGACGGTAGGATGGTAGCTCTACCTAGGTAGTAATCAGCTTGCTATTCCGATACAGATCCTTCAAGATGTTCTCTTTCACGTCGTTTCAGCTGATTGACTTCTTCGACCGCGGCAGTAGTTTGTCAGTGCTGCGAACGTCGTTGGTGATGGGGCAAGGTTGTACGCGTCAACTGGTGAGATGTTGCCCCACCTCGCATCCATCGTGTTTTAGGTTAGCGCCGTACCTGGACGCCTGGACGCGCGCGCCCCCGGGGCTGCGCCTGGCAGGCGCCTTCCAGCCCAACACGCTTCGCACTTCTCTAAGGGATCAATCCTGCCCATGGGCACTGTAGCACGACTATCGCAACATTCTGACTCTTGATATGCCAATATCAACTCAACAAAAATTTGGGCATGCTCACTTTCAAGAGGGCTGCTGCCTAAGGGCGCGTGAATTGATCGCACGGGTTTCTTCGCGCGTCTGCTGTACGCGCCTTCAGCGAATGACTTTCTAGCAACCCATGTCGATGCATCACAAGTCGTCGCAGCCTTGCTGTGCCGCGCTCATGCGTAAATCAAGGTCTCTCTGGATGCCCCGCGGTGGATTCCTCGTCGCTGGGTGTTCCTTGCCCGTAGCTTCTTTGCCTTCAGTCAGCCCTCCCGTCCTCCCCGTCATGGAAGCCTTTGGCGTCGCTGCAAACATCATCTCGATCATTCACATCACAACAGAAGTTGTCAAGCGGCTTAACGATTTCAGAGCGACAACCGAGGGTCTGCCAAGGGCATTGAAGTCACTCAGCGTCGAGCTTCCAACGCTGATAAATTCTTTAAGGCGCATTCGGCAGGCTATTGACGATGGTAGGGTTTCTCAAGAAAGCCAGGAAGCGTTGGAACCACTTATCAAAGACTTCGAACTTCAAATTCAGGCTCTGTCGGATATCATATTCAAGATGCGCCCGCGGGTCAACTCAAATGCGTCTCGCAATCTCAAAGCCGTTACAAGCTTTCGTTATGACAGCGAAGTGAAGCACATAGAAGGTGTAATCAGAGGCTATGTATCGACATTGACATTGGAGTCTGCTATCGCAGCTAATAACAGAGGTGGCACAGGTATGTTGGCGTCGCCCATGATAGAACGTGGGCTTCATCGATCTAACAAACAACAACTTGCAGTTTCACAGCCACTTCTGACGCCGAGATTCATCTGTCCTTTTGGCAAGGATGTCGACTTCATCGAGAGATCTGTGCTTGCTGATCTCCTTGTTTTGAGGGGACCTGGATCGCGACATGCGCTTGTGGGAGCAGGCGGCATCGGGTACGTACACAACCACCCGGCTGAACTATCTACAGCCTTCGCATTCCCCGTTGCCCAGCACGGCAATTTGCAGCAGCTAAAATTGAGAACAGAAAGTCACAGATTGCAATTGAGTACGGTTACAGAGTCCAACGAGACTTTCCAAACACATGGGTTTTCTGGATCGATGCGGAGAATATTACGAAGATGGAAGAGAGCTATCGTGAGATTGCCAGAATTTTGCGCATCAATGGCGCAAGCGACAAGGACGCGGATGTCTTTGGTCTCGTCTACGATTGGCTGCGCAACGAAGCGAATGCAACATGGTTGATGATCATCGACAACGCGGACGACAAGGACGTCTTCAACCGTCTACCGCCGAAATACAAGGGATCCGACCAGTCCAAAGAGATACGAGAATTCATACCGCAATCTTCAAATGGCTCAGTCCTAGTCACGTCGAGAAGCCGAGACGCTGCTTTTCAGATCACCTGCAATTACAAAAACATAAAGCATGTGGAGCCAATGAGTGAAGCAGAGGCAATCGCGCTCCTACAAACGCATCTAGAAGATAGCCACGAAGATGAGGACAAGAGACTACTTGTTGAGACTGTCGACTGCATCCCGCTCGCAATTACTCATGCGGCAGCTTATATCAGCAGACGGTCCTTACCAATACGCGACTATTTACAAGAGCTTAGCACGAAGGATGAGGAAGATTCAAACGCCTTAGAAGAGGATATTCCACAGCTACGTCGTAAGGCAGGGCGTTCCAACTCAATCGTCAAGACATGGAGAATCACATTCGAGTACGTCCGCAAGACCATGCCTTCGGCCTCTAGGCTCTTGTCGCTGATGTGTCTCTTTGATCGACAGGACATTCCGGAGGCGCTTCTCCAGGGGCAATACAGCGAAGTGATACTTTCGTCACGGAACATCCGCAAATCATGGTGGAAGCGACGGCCTCATACGCGCCGAAAGAAAATAGAGCAACAGTCGTTGTCTTGTCCTAAGAGCCTCCCTCGTGACTTTGAGGACGACTGGCTCGCTCTCAGGGATTTTAGCCTGATCAAGATGAACAGGGACAGGAGGCATTTCTCTATGCATCCGCTGGTGCAATTCACGACTAAAAGGTGGCTCGTTCAACATGATGAGCTCGATATCTGGAGTCAACACTTCATACGTATCCTCGATGATAGATTTCACGACTCAGATGACGGTGACTTCAAGAGATGCGAGCCTCTGATCGCACATGCATATGCTGCCATTCCGTACCGGCCATCGAATGCTGCCATACATCCCTTACGTGCATGGGCATCGCTTACCAGGAAGATTGCGCGTTACTACGACCAAAGAACCGGGCTTGAGATAGCGCAAGATCTTTACCGCGTTGCGGCTGAGGCTTTCGAAACTACAGGAGGTAAAAAGACACCCGAAGCACTCAAATGCCGTAAACTGCAAGCACTCCTACTTTTCCAGACAGACAGAAATGCGGAATCGGAAATTCTGTATCGCCATATCTTACGCTTGCAGCAGAAAGCTCTCGGCCATGGACATCTCGATACACTGGATACCATGGATCGCATAGGCGATGTATTATCCTTTCAACGCCGTCGTTCAGAAGCCGAAGCAATCCAAATGCAATCGCTCGAAGTCAGAGTCCGCAAGTTTGGTCTTGCGCATCCCAGCACGCAAGAATCCCTTACCAAGCGCGGCTATTTTCTTCTAGCAGGAAGTCGCTATAATGAAGCCTACGTCACCTGGAAACAAGCCTCTGAAGCACGAAATGTAGCACGCGATACTAGCTGGGTCAAGGAATTGGATCTAATCGGGTTGAGATTGCAATTAGATGGTCAATCCGCCGACGCGGAGTATTATCTAAGAGAGTCGCTTTCAGAGAAAGAGCGTATGTTTGGCGAGGACAATGACTCCACAGTGCCCGAAGCTGCTGCAACACTGGCACGCATCTTACTTTCTCAAGAAAAGTACATCGAAGCAGAGGCCCTGCTACGTCGTGCACTTTCTTGGTACGATTCCAGCGAGTTTTACGATAATCCAGAGCGCTTCCAGACGATGAGTGACCTCGCCCATACAATCGCACATACGGACAAACTTGAAGAAGCAAAAGAACTGGCCATAGTTTGCCTTTCATGGCGAACTGAGAGCTTCGGCTCACATGGTCGCGAAACTCTGGAGATCATGTGGATACTAGCCGGAGTACTAGAGAAACAGGGGAGCTTTGTGCGGGCTTTGCAGAAGTATCGTGATACGTATGAAGGTGCGAGACAGACGCTGGGAGAAGCGCATGCGGATACAAAAGACTACAAGCGTGATTACGAGAAACTTGAGCAGGCTATGTATCAGAAGAGCTCGGCGATATCAGACGAGAACTGGGATGCAGCGACGATAAACTCTGCATTCGATCTCAGTAACGAGAATACAGGTGCAGGGGCTCAGGAACCAGGTGCTATGCTCTTCGACGTGACCGAATCTGAGAAAAAAGGATATGATGGCACTGTCATAGCAGCTCGATAACCATGGAGAGTATGCATATGCGGAATCAGCATCTCAACGAGTGCTCTATAGAAATCGGAGTGAATAGCAGAGTGAATGCTCAGTTGTTGTTATTACAAAATGTCCGCGCTGCGTCATTCACTGAGCTTTGCGACCCACCCCGTTGACATAATCCCACACTCACGCGCACTTCGCTATACAACATTGAAAATTCATGTCCTGCAGTCCGTATCCTTCTGACTGCGTGATACGAGCACGAGATCTTCAACATCGTCTCTTCCATTCTGCCGCTCCAAACCGCAATCGCATTTTCGCAACAGCGCTTCTCCACCCACTAGTATCACGCGACTAGAACATGGCCTTGCCTACACCGAAAATCGTACCCAAGGCCTCTGCGCTCTTCTTGCCGTACGAGATCGAACTCTACCAACGCTGGCGCAAGTCCGCCCTTGGTATCGCTGCTGAGAACGACGATGACGTCCTCCTGCCCACCGCGTTTGAGTACATGGACTTCCTGGAGTGGCGCGCCAGACAGTGCTCGAAACTCGATGGGACTCAAGAAGCGGAGAGCAAGTCGCCAGATCCAGCGTTTTCGGGATATGTATTGGCGGAGCGATGTGGACACCCTCTACATCCTGGAGATCCACGTCCAGATGCTCTAAGACAACCGAAGGACGATGCAGAGGAAGAAAACGAGGAAGAAGGCGAGGAACAGGATACGATTGCTTGGTGTTCGATGTGTCTTTTGCAGATCCATCTCAAGCTGCTTGCCGAGCTATGGGATAAGTGGTTGAACTCCGGCGGCCCGTGGCGTGTCTTACGTCCCGGCTCCACAGCGGAAGGCTGGCAGATTGCCAAGCGAGCATACTATATGCGGAAGACCAACCTAGTCAACGATGTCGATAACTTGGAGGATGTCGCGCGATTGGAAGATACCTGGGAGGCTGCGCATCCCGCTGCGGACGTGGAGGTCGTTCGTGCGTACAGCGCCAAGACGGCAGTGGATGTGTATGCGAAGGGTGTTCAGTTTCCTGCACGCGTAGCAGGACCGGATGAAGTAGCTCCCCGAACACCAACAGGCAAGGAACGAAAAAAGCGCCTCTCGTACTCACCAGACACACCGGAGGATACTCGTCATCGCTCTAGTGCCGCTTTCGCTCGACGCTGCCTTGCCTACGACCCTGAGTCACCCCATCGATGTCCTGAAGAGGATGGATGGGCTGAGACATCGTTCAAGAACAGCTGGGAGTACAATGTACGGCAATGTCGCACCCTGCTATGCAACAAATCGCCCAATGAACCCGATGTCACTTACCGCGAACTCGCCGACGAAGCTTCAAAAGATACCCTCATCAACGGCATCGAGGAGTGGCTCGGCAAGATGCAAGATGATTGGAAGCAGCCCTGGGTTGACATTTTGCTGACTACAACCGAAATGTTTCTTGTCTGGCAAGATCCGCGTCACGACGATGATGCTGACACGGATTTCAACAACTGGGACAGGACTGAAACACTCGTGGGCACCAACCTAGAAGCTTATGCGCGGCAAATTGGCGATATCGACGAGGAGGATGAGACCGAGCTGGTACAAGCAGAGGTGACAGAGGACTTCTTCGACCAGGATTCCGTTGCGTCTGACTCCGACTCCGACTCAGATGAAGACGAAGACGAGCTCCCTGATCCGATGGATCTAGAAGAGGACGAGGAAGTAGCCATCAGTGTAGATGAATAGGAAACGCCAGCTCGGCTACACAGCGCAGACGCTGGAGCAGAATCCTTACCGATGCTTATCCAGTCGACATGTAAATTCTTCAGAGCAAAATGACAAGTAAGGAAATTATGAGATAATCAGCCTTGACATGTGGTAATAGGTATGCAAGACTACTTGTCTCGAACACAAGTCAGGTATCAACGCCCAATAAAATGATAAATTCGCCAAAACGTGCCCGGACTTTACATGACAATACAGCAAGAGTTTTGCTTCTTAGCCTGTGACTGTGTTAGCATGACCGAGCTTTTAGTTGCCAGCTCTTGAGCACTCACCTGTGTGTAGAACATCTTGCTCGATGCACTCAGCTCATCACTCTTCTGAACTAGGTTGTCAATCTTCTCTCCTCGCTCCAACACACTCTCGATGGTCTTGTGTAGCACAATCTTGGTCTCGTCCAACTCTTTTTGGATCTTCATTATGCTGTCGGCCTGTTGTGGGTCTTGGTACTTGACGATGTAGTCTTTGAGCTCGGGGTAAGACATGTTGGCCGATTCGGTCGCGTTGGCAAAAGCGGAGCGCGGGTATTTGGAGAGGAACTCGTCGCAAACTTTGGAGAGGAGCTGGTGGGCTACGAGGGAGGGGTATTCGTGGTCGGTGATCATGAGGCCGCATACGCCTTCGGAACGACCGTAAGCGTGGAATGTGTAATCTGGACGCGCTCGATTAGCATGTGTCTGCGCATGAAGCGGCTATGCTGACGAAGGACGTACCTGACTCCTCGACATCCTGTCTTTGCCCTGGTAGTGTCCTAGAAGCGACCGTCTTTGCTGTGAATGACATCTGGGCTGCTATCAGCTTGTGTCCCTCGGTCCGTGTGACCTGCCACAACTCTGGCTGTGCGGTGAAGGTGACGTACGAACTCTCCGACGCTTCCCCGTGTGAAGCGGCCGAAGCTGGACAGATCGCGCTCGGCGCAAAGTTCGATCGCGGGTTTGGTCTCATTCTTGAGGATCTGTACATGGTTAGTACTCGTCCGAGACTGGAAGCGGCGGTGAATGGGCTCCTACACCAATATAGAGAACCTTCATGTTGGCGGCGGGTTTATTTTATTCGTGAGGAAAGTAAGTGGGGAGACTGGTAGGGTAAGGCTGTGTAGCTTGTATGCGCGTGGTAGGGTCGTGGAGAAAGGAAGCCTGGAGTCGTGGCCCGAGATAGCACTCCTGGCGCCAGCATGCGTCTCATGGTCGGCGGAACCAGCATGTGGCGCGCTGATTATGTCATGCCGCTAATGCGCGGGGGCGGGGCAGGTCCAGCCGAATCCAGGACACTCACCCATCATCGATTCTGCCAAGCCTGACGCAGAGGCAATCACGCTTTCCATCGTGAAGAGCGCTCCAATGCGCGCACCTGAATCACATCTACCGCCAACGTTCGGACAAGCTGTAATAATGTCGCCCGCCGTCGAGGACGCCCAGGCGCAATGGCTCGAGCAGCTCGATGCCATGCGCAAAGCCATCGCCGAACTCAATCTCCCTGCCGATACTGAGAAGGCGCCAGCCTACGGAGACGACCTCGATTTCGATGATGATGACTTCTCTGGAACTGTCAGCGGCGAAGATATCTGGGACATCATCAGCGACGAGTATGAAGAAGAGTTCAGCAGTGATCACCTCGACCAATTCCCCGATGGCCAAGTTGGTGGCGAGGCTTACAGCCAGCAATGGCTCGCAGAGAAATGCTCTTCAGTAGCCCAAAGTGGTTCTGGTCTGGATTCTGGAGCGTTGAAGGAGCAGATCACTGCGATCCTATCAAGTGACAGCAATGGTGAGGCTTCATGCCAATACTCGACATCTACAGCATACTGACTATGAGTAGACGAAGAGCTACAGATGATGCTCGCAGACATTGTTGGCTACGGCGAGTTGGACCTTGTGGCCGAGCTCATATCCCATCGCAAGGACATCATGCGATCCTTGCATAACCCTACTCCCGCTCAAAGCAATGGTGCCATGGGCCGTTTACAGACCCGAGCCGAACGCGAAGAAGCGTTGCGCCGGGCGGATTGGGAGCACAAGACCGCCGCGTTGGCACCTTCTATGGATCGAACAGGGCCCCAGTATCCCCACGTTTATCGGACTCACGAAGCCGGCAACAAGCTCTCGGCTTATGGCAAAAAGTACGCGCTACCTCCAGATACTGAGCATCGCGACAACAACCTGTATGAAGAATATGAAATCCCCGCAGTCCCGGTAGGTACTGTCGGCGTCGGCCGAAGGCTTCTCGAGATCCAGGAACTGGACGGCCTCTGTCAGCGTACCTTCAAAGGCTACAAATCCCTTAATCGCATGCAGAGTCTGGTGTACCCAGTTGCCTACAGAACCAGTGAGAACATGCTGATCTGTGCACCTACTGGTGCTGGTAAAACAGATGCTGCCATGCTCACCATTCTCAACACCGTGGCCAAAAATGTTGTGCCGAACCCGATTGACGAGCCTGAGGCGACCGACTTTACAGTCATGATGGAAGACTTCAAGATCATCTATGTCGCACCCATGAAGGCGCTCGCTGCTGAGGTCACAGACAAGCTTGGAAAGCGCCTAGCGTGGTTGGGTATCAAGGCTCGCGAACTGACTGGTGATATGCACCTTACCAAAGCCGAAATTCTGGACACCCAGATCATAGTTACCACGCCAGAAAAGTGGGACGTGGTGACGAGAAAAAGCACTGGAGACACCGAGCTGGTACAGAAAGTACGTCTGCTCATCATCGATGAGGTTCACATGCTCCACGACGAGCGCGGCGCTGTATTGGAAAGCTTGGTAGCGCGTACTCAGCGACAAGTGGAGAGTACACAATCACTCATCCGGATTGTCGGTCTCTCTGCGACCTTACCCAACTATGTCGACGTAGCCGACTTTCTCCGAGTCAACAAGATGGCCGGTCTGTTCTACTTTGACGCTTCATTCCGTCCTGTACCTTTGGAGCAGCACTTCATCGGCGCCAAGGGCAAGCCAGGCACAGCGAAGTCACGTGAGAACGTGGAGAGAGTGGCCTATGATAAGGTCGTTGAAATGCTCAAACGGGGCCACCAGATCATGGTCTTTGTGCATTCGAGGAAAGACACCGTCAAAACAGCCAGGCGATTATACGACATGGCTATGGAAGAACAGTGCACCGATCTATTCGATCCGCAGGACCATCCTCGTTACGAAAATGCTGTACGCGATATGAAGCAGTCAAAGGGCCGAGAATTACGCGAGCTACTTGGAAAGGGCATGGGTACTCACCATGCTGGTATGCCTCGTTCTGA